ACGCTTACCTCTCAACACTCGCTCCATCTTCTAATGGCTCATTATACCAAGCCACAACCTGCACTTACTTACCTGGGCTTGGCTTTTAATTCTTTGTAGGTAAACCTCCAGCGGATTGCATCACTCTTTCCTCATAATTTCCATGTTAAGTCGGCATTCAAGGTACGCAGAAAACCCAATATTAGATTTCTACTATTATTACATAAATTACTACCTACGTTTCTTTTTGCGTATAAATTAAATCTGTGTTTACTCTTTTTGTAGAAGATTTGAGATATTTTAGACTCGTTAAATTCAGGGTGTGTATGAGTTGGAGGCTTCGTTCCTGTGAGTCCGAGGGCTTGGTGTATTATTAAGTACAATTTTAAGTATGTGATTTCAGCATAATTCTTGGTTCATAAATGATTATGACACGCAGTCTGATGTATGCATAAGTAATATTTGAGTGCTAACTAAAACAGGGTCGAGTGGTCGATCAGTTCGTCAAAATAAAATAATTTGTTAAGTTGTATCGATCTTTTATGTTCACAATGGTGTATTACAGTACCAGTGTATGGAAAACTGTATGGTTCAAAACCTACAACTGTATGTTTCACCTAGCAGTCAACACATTACAGTCCTCCCTAATTAGAACATCTAATACACACAGTTGTCAAAGTCCGCCCCAAATACGTTATCACGTCGTATAGCCGCGGCCCGACACTTTAATCTCGTTTATTTCGGACATCGTCAAATCCACCTCGCGACCTCCAAGACTCCATTAAATCAAGACTATTTTTAGTTAACATTCGTTGCATTCGCGTCTCGCCTCTATAGTGCGTTCACACAGCCGTGGCACCTGAGGGATTAGGAGGCCCCAAGGGTTTCCATGGGGTGTCCTAATCCGTCAGGTGCCACGGCTGTGTGGACGGAGTATAGACCTGTATTTCTCCGACGCACGACCACGACACGCGTAGAAAGATGCAACCAAGTTTTATCTCATTTTGTATATAAAAGGAAAATGATTTTGTATTAAATCTAAATCCATGCAATTTCACACACGATAGTGCATCGTATGTCCGTCGGCGGCTGCAACTCTCAAATTTTGTTTGGCATTTTAAGTATTTATTTTTTGCAATTTAAAAATAATATTAATCACGTTGGAAAAAATACGTATTAACTATTCAATATTCATGGCGTTTGCCTTAATACCCAACACATATTGAGGGGGGCTAAGCTTCTTGAGCAGCTACTGCTCCTTCAGCGATGGATTGATCAAGCTGTGAGTCTAGGAAGCTTAGAAGTGTATCAAGCCACTCTCAAGACCTGGTTATGTCCTCGTCCCTATATACTGTAGTCATATTTATAATAGTTTGCTTATCGTACGCCAACCATGTTGTTGTTTTACCATAACTGGATACATATTACCATACAATTAAATTAAATTAAAAACACGTATAATTATACTTATTCATACGAATGTTTAGTCCCGATTAGTTTGGTTTGTTGTTGGCAACACTCCCTGGTCAGTGTTGTACTACAGTCCTGTGCAGCCGAGCCACCTACACACGTATTGTTTTATATCAGCTACCGTGACATTTGTAACCTAAATACGGTCTGAGCCTTGTGACCATATGGGCATTGACTAAAGAGACCGCTTTGTACACCAACATCATGGCCAGCTTGCATTAACCTTTGCATACAGTGTCTCCGTAACCCGTTACTTCTTTATGCAGTAAGATACTCTCAATCCTCGTTTCTGTTACTGTTATCGGACTATTCGCCTCCACCCTCCAGTGTTTCAACGCTGTGTTCCATCTACGTCATGTGCGAGGTTGTATTCATCTATTAACCTCTGGCTATCATCTATCATCCAATCTTAACAGTTATTCTTAGTTCGAAAAATATCCAAACACTAGCTTAATAATTTTACCTTAGAAAAAAGTTAATCGATAACTTTATATCAGGCTTTTTAGTCTAGGACTTTTAGGGTTTGACCTAGACAGAATTAGGCCACGAACGAACATGACTGGAATGTGTTTAGCACATGTCCCTGAGCATTTCCTGAGAATTCCCAAGTTTTCCCACTTGGGCAACGTCCGCCATCTTTGAAAATGTCGGGAAAAGTATAGAATAATGCAAGCCCATTGTGTCAAACCCGTGACATATAGAGATGTAAAATACGTGTTGGATTGTTGCCCATGAGATTCTCTACGTAGCCTAATAACACAAAATAAAAATAAGAGGCTACATTGGATTTGTAACTGTCAAAAATCCAAATCGAAACTGATATTTTGTTAAAAAAGACATTACATGTTTTCATATTTTCCTATTTTACGCAGTTAATATTGATTTTATCTCAGAGTAATAAAACAAACTTTTGTTTTAGTACTCTGAGATTTTATACACCATTCAAGAATTTTGGAGCTTTGAATTGCACATCTATCTAACGTATATTACCCAATAAAATGTATGATATTATGGTAAACGCTTTATCCCATTAAAGTTTTGTGAGCATTTCAACAATTTCCCACATGGGCAAAATCCGTCATATTGGAAAATAACAGAACATGAATTATCACGCAATATTTTACTTTTACCTTTTGGAGGCGCGTTTACACTACGAGCCATGGAGACCGCTGGAGCACGAATGATGCCGATATCGCGGGTCGCGGGAAACCATATATGCTTATCGTATTGTATTAACCAGTATAGAATGATGCACTGTCTCAGTGTGGAACAGTGTTCCATATGTCACTGCGACCACGTGAGATGTTCAGGAATGCTAAAAGCCGCGTTTACACCGGAGTTAATAAAAAGTTAATTAGGTAACTTTTGTTATTAACAAAAGTTAATAGTTAACATAACATAAGTTATGTTAACTATATAAGAACAAGTAAGTTATGTTATTAACCGGCAGTTATTAACAAAAGTTAGTAACAGAAAGCTATTAACAAATTATTTTGTACTTAAGTTTTTTGTTAAAAACATTAAGTTACTCCACCATCTTGAATCATTGCTCATGCACAGTCAGCAGCTGTAGATGACTATTACCTTTGACAATGGTATTACGTTAACAGTGTTCAATTGAATGTCTAATGTAGCGCACGGCAAGTCGTTGAATTTTTATTATTTCGTGGGTCGTAGTCACGATAACATATTGGCATATATTTTATCTTTCAAATAGATTTTTATTTTATTTTTTTTAATTTAAGACTAAATTACTTACGTAATACCACAGACAAGGGAAACAAAGGTAATACATTATGTCCAACAGCTCAGGGGCTACACACATGGATTTTAGTTCAGTTATTTGGTGGTAGGAGCGTATAAATAAACAAGGGTTTCTTTTTCTAAAGAAATATAGTTAGTAAAATTAATTGCCTCTGAGGATTCCCCTTTAGTCGTAAAACGTATATTTTGATGACAGTTATGCCTATAGACTTACGTCGTCATTTTATCTCAAACGATGTAAAGGAAACTAATAATCTGTTCAACGACGCTTTAAATTTAATGTTGGACAATCTCAATCAAATCTTAGTCTACGGCTTTCAGGTTTTGCAGATTTAGTTTGACTGAGTGGGGAGTGCGGAGTGAGGGGGTGTGTTGTGGACCGGAAGTACCCTACGATCCTTCGTCTGGACCCAACATCCTTCACAGCTACAGTTCAGCTGACTTCCGACATGTGGCTTTTTATCGTTCTCAAACCTATAACAATGAGGCTCACATTCAATAACAAACGCCAATTAAAGCCATGTTTAGGTCCATTTACGTCTTAATTAATATATTGGTTGTATTTAGAACACGACAATGCTTTAAGTGAGAGTGACCAAGTTGAATCCACGAACAAACGCTTAATGTTAAGTTAGTACAAAAAGTGCAGTGTAGATGTAGATCTACAGAAGGAAGAAACCTGTTTGCGATTAACGTGATAATTAAAATAATAATTACAGTGAACGGGACAAAATGCAACAGAAGATAAAAATAGTTTAATCTGCAATGTCCTTGCAAAGTGATGCGTGTATAATATATGTAGGCTAATAGTTTGTACGGTAGTGTTTACTGGAGCAAATGAAATAAACTCTCCTCCTCTCCTGTACTAAATAGTATATCAACTTCGTAGTAATAATCAATGGTAAACAAAAGATATGGACGATTCGGTGATACAGAATAGCCTATTGAATCCAATGTTTCAAGGCAATTTCTAAAATAAAAGAACAACCATTTGTTTCATGTGGATGTCAAATGGACGCAACTATTTCCTATTGCAGGATCATAATTAAATTGTAATCCTCGTCATAAGCTATTTGGTCAGTATTTGATTTCATGACAACTATAAGAAATAGACCAATAAACAAACACACAAAAATAGTTTGGAAGTGGTGAGGAAATTTGAGTAATTAGGTTGGGCAAATATATCTCTGGCACAGCCCTTACCTTGGCACTTGGCAATCATATGCCAAAACTACTACATGGACCCGCAATGACAATTTGACACCAAAGTATTAGTCTTATAAGTCTCACAATAGTTTCAATATTAATATTGTATGTAAATGTTAATGTACCTGTTTGACTGATGTAGCTTACAATTATTTTTTACTGGCGAGAAACATTTTGCTAATAGGATTGAAAGGCAAACATATAAACTAAATAAAATGTAATAACTAGATAAAATGTTATCGGAATACTTTTCTAAAACTAATCGCTACATGATATTACAAGGAGGTGCAAGAAGTTTAATCAAACATGATTAATACAGTATACGAATTTCTATTAACAGTTGCATGGTTTAGTTTCTATACTCTTCAGGTAGGCTAAATGCGATGAGGATGGGCCAGGTGGCCCTAATTGCCTGGCTAGACGAAAATAATGAATTATACTTTTCATTTTAATTAACTAACTGTAACATATATCAAACAAACAGAGCTCAAATCCGCAAGACAAACTGATTTTTAAAAGGTATGTTGCTTGAGTGCCAAAATTGAGAGAAATGTAAAAAAAGTACCGGTAACAATACAAACCTGTTCTAATATCCAGTAGGCACAGTTAGTATCACTCACATCCGGCAGAAGAAGCGCTAAGAGCTACACTCGCACTCAACACAGATGTGTGAACTGTTACTGTTGTTGAACTGCACTGAACACTACGACTACAGACCACACTGAACGAACACTGAAAGCAAAGCAACAGCAACAGCTAAACTCGCCGGTCGAGACGCGCCGCGAAAATAAAACTCGTGGAGGCGGTCCACTTTGGCGGCGCTTTTAGTTGACTCCAGCAACAAATGAACAAATGTTTTTCCTGAGAACAGGACGCTACGTTGACGTTCGCAAGCTGCAAGCTGCGAGGGCAAGCGTTCTGTATCATTGTTGACTCACGGTTCTCTGATATCTCGAGATCCGGGTGTGTGACATACTGTGTGGATCTGTAATAATTAGAAGCCAAACAGATGTTCTAGCTCTGGGTATAATCACCCAATAATGACACGGTCGCTTCGCTACTCTATGCACTCTCACTCTCGCCTCCACAACGCTCCACAATGATGTGTTAGAATATAACAAGAAGGGAGAAGCAGTTAGTTAGTTAGTCACTGTATTTACTGATACATTTATTAACGTAACGACAAAAAGAAAAATTGCATGAAATATGTAATATCAAATTATAAAGATTACGAACTAAGATTTTCTTACAGATTGTAGAATCTGGATCACTTAAGTGGTCCCTTTTTCCTTCATGCGGATATGTGTTTGTGTTTTGCTTATGAAATACACGCTGATATCCCGAGTGCCACGTATTAAAAGACCGATCTGTCTGATTCCAATTTAATCGAAAGCCATACAAAGCCACTATTCCCTTTTGAACATAAGTAACAGAGATGCAAACGTGCACCAATGAGCATAAAAATTGTTAAAAATGGTCAAAAGCTGTATTAAAATTTTTTTGGACAATTTAAAAACATTTTGATTTAAACTTCAAATTACAACAATTTTAATAGTATAAGATTTGAAACAATCTTTAAATTGTATCAATCAGTTTTTTGCAGTAAAAAAAATAAGTTTTAATACGAGTTGTAACTATTTAAAAATAATTTTAAAATTGTTGTATTCTTATTTTTGTTATAAACAATTAAAAAAACATTTTCTAAACAACATTTAAATTGTTTACAAAACTATTCAAGTTTAAACAATTTTGAAATCAATTAATAATTTGTTTGATTATTTATTGAGCGGAGCGAGCGAAGCTCTTATACTACACTCCTGCTTTTTTATTACAAATACTCCTCCTGAACGGCTAAAGCGATCTGCATGAAATTTAACACAGTCATAGTAACCAACCATGGGAAGGTATAAATCTGAAACGGTACAAATCGGACCATAGGACTTTTCCCTACATGAATGCAAACTTTTGGAAATTTAACATGGGCCTTATGGGTTAATTGGTCGCCATGTCATTATTTGCGAGTAAACACTAAAAATTAAACAAGAGCCTCAACATTAGTCAACAAATCTACCACATGATAAATACAGTACAAAAGAAAAAATTGGATAATACTAAAGAGCATATTATAGTATATTGTATGTAATACGAAATGATTAACAATCAGTTCTATATTGAGTGATTAAACTCCATGCCGTTTATATTTAATTGTAAAATGGTTCTGTTCTTTTTAACAACAATGAATAGTTAACTAATTAGGCCTAAGTTTATGTTGCTTGGAGAAGGAGAAGATAAAACGAGGTCATTAAAAAAACACTACAACATAATTATACCAACAAAAATCACACCGCCCTTGATTTGCAAGAAACTTTGTAAAAAATGTTCTTGTAGCTAAAAATACAAAATCGTTTTACGAAATGAAATCACAACCACGTGGTTTACAGGTAAGGTTTAAGACTAAATGGTGTAACTTAGACAATAAAATAGTTGTATTGATAAATTTTATTGCACAATAGGGAAATTTTGAAAGTGGTTGACGACAATTTCTTACTTTTAACTGCTAAAATAAAACTAGACCTAAGTTATAGGCCTATACTAAGTGAGGCTAACCCCAATCCCTCACAACAATAATACTGGTAAACAGTTATTGAGGTAATAGAATTGGTGAGTTTTATGAATGTTGAATGCAAATAAGTCTTCTGTACAAATAAATGATTCTTTTTTTAATAATGAAGAAAGAAGACATTGAAAAAAAATAAAGAAAAGCAAATTCTACATACAAAGGGTCCTAGGTGTACAATGCAGTTGTCTGCTTGCAATATTGAGCGGAGCCAGCATATTCAATATCAATGATTTTTTTGCATTTTAAATAGAATGCCTATTTGCAGAGGTATCCAAAGTCAATCATAAGTCAGGATTAAGTGAATGAATCGTCTACTTGCAGGAACCGTATTCTATGTTTCATCTGGTTCTCATAAATTAAATGTCTACTTGCAGTATCCAATGCCAATGATATATTTGGTTCGCATAAATGGAATGCCTATTTACAGATTCTAAAGTCAATAGTACGTATGGTTCACGTAGACGGATTGTTTACTTGTAGTATCCAAACCCAATGGTACATGTAAATGAATAGTCTACTTGCAGTATCCTCAATAAATCAATGGTCCATTTATTTTGTTCACATAAATAAAATGCCTAATTGCAGTATCCGAAGTCAATGGTAGGCTTAGGCCTACTTCTGCTTCACTTATATGGGATGTCTATGTGCAGTATTCAAAGTCAATGATACGTCGGGTTCAAGTCAACGAATTGTGTTATATTTGGTTCACATTAGTGGAATTCCTATTTGTAGACTGCAAATAGGAATTGAACATTTTCCAATCAGATAGATATTCAAAGTCTACATTAATTGCACGTCTTGCTCACATAAAATGCTGTAAGTTATTTACAGATTCCAAACGCAATATGGTGCATCAGCCTAATTCCGGCAACCCTTATTATTGGTTTAAGTCCTGTGGTCCGAATATTACCATTTCAGATTTATACCTTCCCATATGGTTGGTTACATGACTGTGCCAAATTTCCTGCAGATCGCTTAAGCCTGTCAGGTGGAGCCTGACCTGTATTTGTAAAACAAAGGCAGTGAGTGTAGTACTAGGAGGATTAAACATTTAATCCTCCTAGGTGTAGTATAAGAGCTTCGCTTCACTCCGCTCAATAATTTCGATACTGCAAATGAATCATGGTAGGCCTAAGCAATACCTGTATTATTAAAAGGCAATAACGATTATTATTATATTATTATTACCCTTTGGGGTATAGCGTTAGGGCGCATTTTGTAACCTATGCGCCACTGTTCTGTAGCTGCGGTCGTTATCACGATTACGCCTTCTGCCTATGTTTCGTTGTCGCGTCGGAGGCATTTAAAAGAAAAAAAAAACAACAAATAAACAAATTATAGCTACACAAAACAACGATAAATACACACATTTAAGTTACAATCATGCTAACACGATCCCTCATAGTGACACAAAACAACGATAAATACACAAATTTAAGATACGACCATACTAACACGATCCGTCTTGGGGGTTATGTTTATACAAACTCGTAGTAAATAAATGTACTCAATGCGTTTCATTGAATTGAATAATAAATAACAGCAATTAAACTATACAGCTGATCAAAATGTAAACAATCATGTTCTTCATAAGGATAACATGGGAAATTTCAAAGCCACTGGGGCAGAGCCAAAGGGACTTTTAGAAAAATTTAAGGCCAGTTTGCAAATCTACGCGACGCGCTCTTTCCAATGAGACGTCAATGGATAAAATCGGTTAAGAAATGGCGGAGGAGTTCAACCGACAAAGTTTCATGTAGCGTATTAATTATATAGATAATAATGCAAATATATATTTTTGTTTTAATTCCTTAACTTATTTGAGCAAATTTTTAATGGTTGAACAATTTAAAGGGAAAGATTAATTAATCATATAACAATTATAACAACATTACTAATGGTAATTAATTCATCTATATTCAAATATCGGTATCCTCTCCAACTCCCAGAAAAACAATTTAACAATTTGATGCCTAAGCAGAATCATAGTATCAAAAATATTTCAAGTATTGTTTTTTTAGTTTTTTTTTATCAAAATTTGTTTTTATGAACTATTTAATCAAAATATTAAACTTATAAATATACTTTTCATAAATCTTTATTATTTTATGTTTTGTGTTTTTATGTAAGATATCCCCATCCCCATGGGATGGTTGGTCCTATGTGAAAACAATTTTTAACAATAATTTAAAACTGTTATAAAACGATTTTTTCTCGTTTTTCTTCTACTTGGGACGTAGGTGATGTAATTCAAATTTTAAACAGATTAAAAATAGGATGGTTACAATTGACCACAGAAGTGAGTGGGAGATATGTGCTGGATGGGTGTACTGTGTCTTGTTACTGACCATGAACAGAGTATTCTTGGAACTGAGCAGACTAGTCAGAAGCCATGTGATCAATATGACAGCTGGTTCCAGTTTGAGCAATCAAAAACAGTGTACTCGGCAGTATTGACTGACAACTCCCAGAAAAACAATTTAACAATTTGATGCCTAAGCAGAATCATAGTATCAAAAATATTTCAAGTATTGTTTTTTTAGTTTTTTTTTATCAAAATTTGTTTTTATGAACTATTTAATCAAAATATTAAACTTATAAATATACTTTTCATAAATCTTTATTATTTTATGTTTTGTGTTTTTATGTAAGATATCCCCATCCCCATGGGATGGTTGGTCCTATGTGAAAACAATTTTTAACAATAATTTAAAACTGTTATAAAACGATTTTTTCTCGTTTTTCTTCTACTTGGGACGTAGGTGATGTAATTCAAATTTTAAACAGATTAAAAATAGGATGGTTACAATTGACCACAGAAGTGAGTGGGAGATATGTGCTGGATGGGTGTACTGTGTCTTGTTACTGACCATGAACAGAGTATTCTTGGAACTGAGCAGACTAGTCAGAAGCCATGTGATCAATATGACAGCTGGTTCCAGTTTGAGCAATCAAAAACAGTGTACTCGGCAGTATTGACTGACAACAATTCTCAAATGGATCCCATCAAAAAGCCTCACATAGGTCAATTTTCCTTAAATCTACACTGAGAAATTCTAGGCTACAAGGATTTAGAAAGCATCCGTAGGTGTTGGAAGCTGTGCCTTTT